CCCCCCAAATAAAAGAGAATTTGATGGCTGCAGAACTATGAGTCACCCTCCAAGTGAATAGTGAATGTCTCCAACAAGGTACTCTTGAAATTAGATCTGTACCTTCTTTCTCCCTCAGTTGGAAGATGAAGGAGAGAGGAGGAGAGAAGACAGAGGGAGGGAGGAAGGAAGGAAAAAGAGGGAGGGAGAGGGAGAGGGAGAGGGAGAGGGAGAGGGAGAGGGAAAGGGAGAGGGAGAGGAGAGGGAGAGGGAGAGGGAGAGGGAGAGGGAGAGGGAGAGGGAGAGGGAGAGAGAGCCCAAGAGTAGTGAGTTGACTCATTTTACTGTCAGTCTCTGGCCCAGGATTTCAGACCTTATGTAGCAGAACTCCAGGTTGTGCCTTAAGGATCATGGGGAGTGTGGGGAAGCCAAGAAGAAGAGTAAAAGGACTACTTTCACTCTTACTTCTCTCTTTCAACAAGAATAATTTTCCTTTTATGTGTTTTATTTATTTGGGAAAGAAGTTTACATCTTTAAAAAAAAATAATAAGAGTCCAAAAACCACTTTCCTGGAGGAAACTGCTAAAACCAAAGTGCTTAGTTCTAGCGAGAACCCCGGGAGAGAATCTGATGTAACAGCTGGATGGATGGATGACCGTCCACCGCCGGGCCCCACTGCAGGCAGGCTGGTTCTGCGCAGAATTAGCTAAACTGGAGACCAGTGTCTCTCTTCTCTCTGATGGTCTCAATTTCTCTGCACCAGAAAATGCATCTGTCTGAGGGAGAGCATGTGTACCCTTCCCAGGAGTTACAGCAGCCACTCGGAAGAGAACAGAAACAGGAAGAGATGACAGAGCAGTGACAACCACAACTAGGAACAGAAAGTGGGTGGAGCAGGTCTGCCAAGCAGATATGGAAGCTGCTCTGGAGCGAATGCCTTCTGGACTCCCCTGGCACACTGGGCATGATCTCTACATTGGGCACCTGGCCAGGGGGCTGCAGAACGGATGGCAGCGGACAGAAGGTCATTGGGAAGGGAAAGGAAATGCATGTGTGGGGCAGCGCAGTGCAAGGTTAACCTGCCATGACCTGGTCTAAAGCAACGTGAGGCTGCCCACTCCTCTCTCTGCACTGGATCACCTCACGCGGTGCTAGAAGGTGCTTGAGAAGGAAGAACCCAGGGAAGGCTGGTCACAATGTTGAATGTCAAAATGCTCACCAGAGACAGAACCACAGGACAAATTAAGTTCCTGGGGCTTGTACTCCCCCCACACCTGGAGCTGCTGACTGCCGCCACTCCCCGTGGGGAAATGTGAGAAGGAAGGGGCAGGTGGAAAGCTCTGAATGTCTACACTGTTCCTGCGCTTCTGGCCACGGCGCTAATGGCCAGGCTCAGATATCACCGCTGCCCTTCGCCAGCCTCTCCTCCTGGTTCAGCCTTAGGAGACTGAGCAATGCATGCTGTCCTCCAGGGAGCAACAAGCCTCGGCAGCACATGAAATCTGTTTTCCTTACTCCACCAGGAAGCGGAACGAGCCGCTCTACCACATGCCCAGGAGCGCTCAAGCATCAGTGCGTTAAGGTATCTTTTCCTCAAACCTTCCTACCACAGACCTCCATGTTTTGGTCGAACATTGCCAGGTGTGTTCTGAACTGCCTAGCTTCCTGCCCAGGGGGTCCCAGACCTACTGAGGGGCACCAGATACTCCTAACCAGACCAACTGAGGGGTACTAGATACCCCTAACCAGACCAACTGAGGGGTACTAGATACCCTTAACCAGACCAACTGAGGGGTACTAGATACCCCTAACCAGACCAACTGAGGGGTACTAGATACCCTTAACCGGAACCAATGGGGGTACTAGATTACCCTACCAGCCAATGAGGGGCACTAGTACCCCTAACAGGCCCAACTGAGGGGTACTAGATACCCCTAACCAGACCAACTGAGGGGTACTAGATACCCCTAACCAGACCAACTGAGGGGTATAGATACCCCCTAACCAGACCAAACTGAGGGGGGTACTAGATACACTACCCAGCCCACAACTGAGGGGTCTAGATACCCTAACCAGACAACTGAGGGGGTACTAGATACCCTTAACCAGGGCCCAAACTGAGGGTTATACTAGATATCCCTAACCAGACCACCTGAGGGGTACTAGATACCCTTAACCAGACCAACTGAGGGGTACTAGATACCCCTAACCAGACCAACTGAGGGGTACTAGATACCCCTAACCAGACCAACTGAGGGGTACTAGATACCCCTAACCAGACCAACTGAGGGGTACTAGATATCCCTAACCAGACCAACTGAGGGGACTGATCCTTAACCAGACTACTGCTGGTACTAGATACCCCTAAACCAGACCAACTGAGGGGTACTAGATACCCTTAACCAGACCTACTGAGGGGTACTAGATACCCCTAACCAGACCAACTGAGGGGTACTAGATACCCCTAACCAGACCTAATGAGGGGTCCCAGATGTCCCTAACCAGACCAACTGAGGGCTACCAGATACCCCTAACCAGACCTACTGAGGGGTACCAGACATCCTTTCCACATGATCCTGGTCTTCATGGCTTCATCAGTGAGCATCACACCTATGCGCCCACCTCCCACTATCAGAGCTGGCATGGTTAGATCCAAACATGAAGAGATGGAATTCATTTAGATAAAAGATCTTAAGTGGTTGTTGCTCTCCTACATCCAAGCATCCTGAGACACTGCACACCGGACAGGAGCCCACATTCCAGACAGATAATGCTCTACCAAGAAAAGAATGCTTGACTTGCCTCTTCCTAGTTGACAGACCTCTTCCCCGTCTGTCTTCCCCATCCAGGCTGTGCTTTAAATGTGCGGAGAGAGCATTTCTCTTCCTCTCAGCCTTACGCCTGGGTGGCGGCGGGGTCCCCACGTTGAGGACCAGCAAAGAAGAGGGCAGTGGGTGGAGCCGGAGCCAGCAGAGAGAAGTACTCTAATGTCCAGTGTTTACATTCCAGGACTGAAGAGCTCACCGCTTTAGGGGGTGGATGGCTTCTTCCTGGTCAGGGCCCAGCCTGGCACCACCGGATCCCATTGTGGGACAGTCCCCATGCGGGCCACCCCTGTCCCGCCCTTCCCAAAGGCAGCTGGCAGGATGGGAAGGGGCCGAGTTGAAAGTCAAAGCCCTGTTGAGGGTTGTCTCTGTGGTACTCATGCCCAGTGCCTCTCCTGACCTTGCCCTTAGCTTGCCCTCCCTCCTGCCTCCCCCCCCACACCTCCTCAGTGAGCTGGGTCAGCCCTACAGGCCTCTGGGGACGGGATCCACACAGCGGGGAGGCTGCTGTGCCTGGGTGACTCAGGCAGGAGCTCCCTTCGGGGTGTGTTGCTGGATCCTGGGTGGAAGGAGTCAGGCAGGGAGCCCGCTGCAGGGAGGGGGATCCCAGTGGCCCCAGAGGGGGGGGGGGGCGGGCTTTATCATGCTGGAGACGGGGAGGGGAGGGGGGAGGAGGAGGTCAGGGTGGAGTGATTCTCTCTCCAGCACCCTGGCTCTTGGCCTGTTTTCTTCACATGAAATTCTCTACATCATCCTCCCCGGCTTCAGTCCCTACCGTCCAACCGGACCCCGCCCTAGCCCTATGCCCATCCCTCCCTCCTGGCCACTCAGACCATCACCTACGCACCTCCTCCCTCTTCCCCTCCCCTGCGGTTGGTTCTTTCTGCCCCCCCCCCCTCCTCTGGCATCTGGCTGGGCACAGCTACCATCCTCCCCCTCACTCACCCCGGATCCCTTTCCTCTCAAAGGTCCCGTTCCCCCCCCCCCCCATCCCCACCCCTTTGCCCAGCTCCCACCGGGCTGGTGCCTGGAGAATGCATTCCTTCAGTCCCTCCGCGACCTGCCCCCCCTCCGCTGGGACCCGCGGCCCCGGGCTCTGGCCGCCTCCCTGCCTCCCCATAAACCGTCCCTGCTCCCCAATTAGCCGGCGGCCGCCTCTGAGGAAGCCGAGGTGCCCACACGACGCTGACCTACATAGCCGGCCCGCCCGGGAGGGGCTTCCCCGGCCCCTCGCCCGGCCCCGCCTCCTGCCTCCCGCACTCCCCCCCGCCCCCCAGCGCCCATCACCACACAGCCAAGGAGGCGCGAGTTGCAGAGCGGGGTTAGGGGGTTAGGCGGGCTACCCCACCCCGCATTTTTTTGGGGGGGAATCAATGTTTAGCTCTGGGAAGCGTTGGGGTTCCCATGCACCCCGCTTCTGCTTCCCCCATAACCTGGTCCTTCCTTCTTCCTCATCCCCATCTACCTCCCCCGCTCCCTCCCGGTTCGCTCTCCCAGCTCTGGCCGCCGCCTTCCCAGCCTGGTCCGCCCGGTGTTGTTGTTTTGCTCCGAGGAGAACCCCCTTCTTGCCCACGCCCCCCGCCCCGGCCTCGCTCAGGCCCCTTCTCCGGCCACGCAGGGCCCCCGCGGGTGGGGGGGGGGGCAGGACTGTTTGCACACAGCCGTTGGGCGGGGGGGGGGGTGGCCCTGGCCGCCCCAACCCTCCAGACACACAGACACAAACAAGCCACACACGCCCTGGCTGTCTCCCTCCGCCCCCGGCACACACTGACACACACACTGACACACACACACATACATACACACACACACACTGACACACACACACACAGATGCTGACACAGGGACGCAGCAGCACAGACACCAACACAGACAGACGCGCACACCCAGGCGCGCTGACACCCACACCCACACCCGGACTGGACCCGGGCCGCCGGGGCAGGCAGACCCCACCCGGGGCACCCGCGCAGGCACCCCGGTGGCTGTGCCAGGAGGAGGGTGCCCGCCCGGCGGCACACCCACGACCCACAGAGACACAGATGCTCAGACAGACTCAGGGGCACTGCCAAGGGCTGGCGACCTGAACCACAGGTTTCAGACAAAGCCGACAAACGCCCGGCCCCGGGGGCCGCGGGCACCCCCATGCCCACACCCACCCACCCACCCACCCCCTCCCGGCGCCCCGCCCGCACTCACCTTCCTGGGAGAGGTTGGCCCAGCCCGGCGTCCCGCAGCAGGCGCTCAGCAGGAGCAGGGCCAGGGCCGAGGGGGCCCCCATGGCGCCGGCGGAGGCTCCCCGCGGGGCGCGGGCGGCGGGTCCCCGGAGGCTGGCACCCACCGGGCTGGGGGACAGCGACGCCGCCGACCGGAGGGCGCCCAGGAGCCGCGGCGGCAGCCCGGGGCCGAGGCTGGACTGGAGGGAGCTGGCGCTGCTGCAGTCGCGGGGATTAAATAGGACGCTCGCTCGGAGCAAACCATTCGGGCGGAGGGGGTGGCGGGGGGCTGGGCCGGGCGCGGGGGGGCGCGGGCTGCAGCGCTCCCCGCTCCCGCCGCCCCCCCGCACCCCTTCCGCGCCGGCGTGGTGCCTCCCGCCCGCTCCCGGGGGAGCCCCGCCGGCCTGACGGGCGCGGGTGTGGAGCCCGGGGAGGGAGCCGGCTCCGCCGCGGCCCCGTGCGCACCCCTCTTAGGCTTGGGGTGGAGGCAAGGAGTTGGCATGGCCCGGGGCCAGCTGGCGGGAGCGGCCACTGCAGGCCTGGACCAGGGTGTGCCCACTCGCCCGAGGCCTTCCAGCCCCTCCCTCTTCTCTTTGGCAAGGGGAGCCCCAAGAGCCCTGGGGGTCCCCCATCAACAGTGCGCCCAGGGGCAGCATCCCATTGGGTAGCCCATTACCTTGACCTTCTCCTAGACACTAGCACCCCAGTTCCTCTCACCCAAAGGCGCCCATTAGCACCGGGCAACAATCGGTGGCCCCAGGCCATGTCCCTTGACAGGCATCTTTCAGCAAGCCCACAGGTCATGGGACTTCACATTTCCCTGCATCCTTGTCACATTCCCCCTCCCCCTAAGCAGTGGCTTCCCTTCCCACTCCTACCCAACCCAGTGGCCTAGCTCAGTAGTGCCCCCTTCACCTTTCCTATGACCCCCTTTACTCCCAGTCCTTCCCTCCAATATTTTCCCGTTTTTTCTTAATCTTTCAGAGGATCCTGTTTTTTTTGGTGAGTGAGATTCCTGAATGCATGGTTTGCTCTACAAACCCTCAGGAAACTGCCCCTTTAAGGACCAATGTATATGTGACGAATGCAGCATATATATATATATATATATATATATATATATATATATATATTTGATTTTTTACAGAGAGGAAGGGAGAGAGATAGAGAGTTAGAAACATCGATGTGAGAGAAACATCAATCAGCTGCCTCCTGCACACCCCCTGCTGGGGATGTGCCCGCAACCAAGGTACATGCCCTTGACCGGAATCAAACCCAGGACCTTTTAGTCCACAGGCCAAAGCTCTATCCACTGAGCTAAACCGGTTTTGGTCGAATGCAGCTCTGGGCTTTGAGGCCAGACAGAGTATGGAAGGAGGCGGGGAGTCTGTTCTCCCCTCGACTCAGGAGTGCCAAGACCCCAGGGTGGCTGTTCCTGAGTGTGGGTGCCTCTGGGAGGGCCTTGGTGTGTCTCAGAAAGGGATCCTTCTGAGCCAATTTGCTCAAACAGAGCTTCTAAATTTTGTGATCTCTGAACCCAATAATTTCGCACGTGTAAGCATTCTTTTAACATATTTGGTCCGGCCTCTTATTCCAGTACAGCTGGGGTCTAAAGGGTATTAACTGATCTACCCAAGGGCACTCTGACAGTTAACAGGAGGAAACACAAGCGTTTATTAGGACACGGAACAGCACAATCTCCAGCCACAGCACCTTCCCTCTCTCTGAGGCGATATTTTGTCCCTAGAGGAGGGTTTGGGGTCCATGTCTTTCAACTCCTGGGCCCGTCCTCTCCTGTGCTGATGCCTGGCCTCGGCCTGCGAATCCTTCCTGTCTGGGTCCTTTCTCCCTCTCGGACAGGCTTCCTCCGCCTCCATGATGGATGCAGGGACAAGAAGGTGGGAAGTACTTTGTAAACAGTAAAGCTCTCTATAAATGCTAGCCACTGATGGAGAGGCCGAGAGAGAATACTCTCCAGGGCATCCTGCGGGATGGCCAGGTGTTGCCCTGGTTCCCCCCTCGCTGCTCCCAGAGCTGAGCTGTGGCTTCTGGGAGAAGCTCTCTGCCTGCCTTCTGGACGTTCCCTGGGAGGCTGAGCAGTTGGTAAGAACCCCTGGCAGCACCCTGTCTGACCACCTGGGGCCACCTGCCTTGGCACCTGCCAGTGATTCCAAACCAGTCCTCCTCCCTGGATCCTCTGGACCAGGGGTCTTCAAACTACAGCCCGCAGGCCACATGCGGCCCGCAGAGGAGTTTGATCCGGCCCGCCAGGTTTTTTGGGCAGTGAGCGCAGCCGAGGTGTTACAGTAGGAATTAGTAGTTCATATAGTCTGGCCCTCCAGCTCTCTGAGGGACTGTGATCTGGCCCCCACTTTAAAAAGTTTGAGGACCCCTGCTCTGGACCCTTGAAATCTCTGAGAAGCAGAGATGGAGGGAGTAGTGTGATTGAGGGATGTAAAGACCTGGGTGTAAGAGAGAGGAAAGGATGGTCCATGGGATGAAAGAGGGGGAAATCATAGGAAAATGGGACTATCTTAAAGAGGTGAGACCACGTTGGCAGAGAAAAGCAAGGAGCAGGTATGTTTTCAAAAAGAGAATGGGACTTCGGAGGGGAAGGACCAGGCTATCCTAGTTAAAGGATCTTGATGGGTAAAGGGTATTGCCTTTGGAGCTAGAAGAAACCTTAGAGATCATGTAAGGGGGATGAAGAGAGAACAGGTTAGTGTGGGCGTGGGGGGTGAGGGGGTGAGACCGGGGACCAATGGGATGGGGGTGGCAGGATGTGGGATTAGGTTCCAAGCACCTCTGACTAACGGTCTTCTGCCTCTGCTGCTCTGCAGTGGCCTCCCTCTGCCTGTTCCCTCTTAATTCCTCCTCCCGAGGCTCTGCTGGTCCAGCCCTGCCCTATACTGGAACCGCCTGGGAGGAGAACCAAGTGTGGGTGGAGAGGAGGAGCGTTGTTTTGGAGAGAGAGTATTAAGCACAAGCAAATGAGACTCTGGAATGCTCTTTTCCTCCTGGCTCCCTCTCCCTTTTCTGCATCATCAGCATCAGTCTGGCAGCGCGTTAGGCCCTGGGAATTGTAAGCAGTCGTTGGCTTTTAGAATCACAGAATAAAAGAGTATGTGCGTTGTAAGAGACCTTTAAGATTACCTAATTAATGCCCCTTGTTGAACTGATGATGAAAAGGAAGCTCGGAGACCCTGGGTCACTTCCTGTGCTCGCGGAGCTGCACAGTGAAGGGTTACCAGCACGGGGAAGGGGAGACACACCCCACCCTTGGAGGCAAGAGGAATAAGTAGAAACAATCCCAATCTGTAGAGTTTGTCCCTCCCTCCCGCCTCACTCAGAGCGAGAGGGTAGTTTCTCCTGCAGATGTGGGTGTCTACACCGACATAACTCCTCATCTGTAACCATTCTTGTGCCTCCAGCATCTTACAGGTGCCCTCTTCAGGGACTCCAGGAATGGGGCTTTACAAAGAAGACTGGCCTACAAGTAGAAGTAGGTAAAGTAGAAATATCCATGTTGGATTGTGGTCTCTATAGTTGCCTACCACTTGAAAATGCTGTGGCTACGCCAAAACCGGTTTGGTTCAGTGGTAGAACATTGGTCTGCGGACTGAAATATCCCAGGTACGATTCTGGTCAAGGACATGTACCTTGGTTGCAGGCACATCCCCTGTAGGGGGTGTGCAAGAGGCAGCTGGTTGATGTTTCTCTCTCATTGATGTTTCTAGCTCTCTATCCCTCTCTCCTCCTCTCTGTAAAAAATCAAAATATATTAAGAAAGAAAGAAAGAAAGAAAGAAAGAAAGAAAGAAAGAAAGAAAGGAAGAAAGAAAGGAAGAAAGAAAGAAAATGCTGTGGCTACAATATGTGTTTCCCAGAGATTTGCACAAAGTCTGGAGGAGGTGGTCGGTGGGGTTAAAGACCTGGTAGCCACAGTTAAAACGGGGGCTTGGGAGGAGAGAAGGGGAGTGGAGGGAAGGCAGGTTTTGGCTCCTGGGTGCCCCGTCCACTCAGCAATAGCCTGGGTCACTGGGGGCGTGGAATGTGCAGCTGGCACCAGTGCCGGGCTGGACACAGCTGTGTGGGCCCCAGGCATTCAGCTCCCCACGCGGCCGGCCGCTGTGGAGGGAGAGGGGGGACCCAGCCTGAGGGGGTGAATACTACATGTTCGGGGGGGGGGGGGCAGCACCTGGAGGGGGGAACAACTCAGCAACCTGGCTCAGTCCTGCTTCCCACACTAACCCTTCCCTGTGGGACTTGTTCTTTACCAGTAAATTCTACATGGATTTTCCACTTTAATTTTCCACCCAACTAAACCAGTACTCCCGATTCCGCTTCTTACTTCCGCTATCCAGTTTTAATGAACCCCGTCCTTAACGGTAAGCTCTGTATGGGTTTTCATTCTAACCTTCATTGAGTTCTAATTTCAGTCTTAGCCTTCATCTTTCAGGGACTCCAACCAACTAATCCTGATACAAAACCCAAACTCATTGTCAATTTTAACCAGTATCTTAATTCTAACCTGTTATAAGCCAGCAACCTGGGCGGCAACTTGCACATAATAAAAAAGATCACGGGTAGCATTGATTGAGAGCCCACTGTGTGCCGACTTTGCCCTGGGTACTTTACATGGGCACGATCTCATTCAGGTACCTGAAAGCATCCTAATGCAGTTGGCTCTATTAGCTGCCTTACAACTATGAGGAAACAAGGTTTAACTAGATTGTGCAATTTGTAAATACTAAATTCAAATCCCCTGTTTAATTCTTGCTTGACTAGAAAGCTGGTATTCATTCCTTTTCCCACCAACAAATACTTTTTTCAAAATCCTAATTCTGACTGGAGTGATTTCTAACATACTGAGTTTCTAACTAGTAGTACAAAGTAGAAACCAACCAACCAACCAATCAATCAACCTAACAAACACAAAGCCCAAATTTCTCTGCCCAGAAACCCCATTGACACTTGAAAACATTAAAATACTCTATAATAATAAAAGCATAATATGCTAATTAGACCAGACAGCTTAACAACCTTCTGGACATCCTTCTGGACAACCTTCCAGATGAAGCCAGGGCCACAAGGGCTGAAGCAAGCCGCCACAGTTGCGAGGGCCGGGCCCCTTGCACAAATTTTGTGCACCAGGCCTCTAGTGTATTTATAAAGTTAAAACAATCAAACTAGAAAGAAGCAAAGTGAAAGTAAAAGCCTCCTTCTCCTTCCCAGCCTGGCCACTGGGCACACCCAGGGGCATCATGGGAGTTGGTTGTGCAGCACACTAGCCCCACCTCCCATG